CAGATCTATCTAAATGCGTCTATGTTCGCATAAATTATTTGTGATTCAGCCTCACCTACAGAAGAAGTGAGTATAAGGTTCTTTTATGAATCTTTGCAAATTGCCTTTCCTAATAACGTGCTAGTTAGCAAGTTCCGCAACTAAAGTAAACAGTCTCATGAGAACGGATCATCACCCCACGGAAGAGAGGGGCGGGGTCAGCAGAGCTCATTAGCATTTAAAGGGAACTGCACCGAAACGGGTCGCTGTGAACAGAGATGTTTTTTGACAGTATAAAAAGGGCGTTGTTTTACACTACCATTGAGAAATTATAACCAAAATATGTTATAGACTTTTCATTAAGACCCTAAAGAATTATATCAACTTGTGGAAAATGGGCATCCGATGACCCCTTTAATTTTCAATGTGGCTCCAAGAGTAAATTGTTAAATTGTACATATTTTCAGTTGTCAAAAACCAAATGCATTCAGCTGATACTTTTTTTTTAATTTAAAGAGAAATGTCTGAAGAAAAAAAAAATATTAGTTCTGCCATGAAACTCTACTTGTGTTCTAATTGGTTAATTCAAGTCAACGTTCCCAGACAATCGGAATGACATACTCATTACTGTTTACCTATATAACCAGGACATATTCAATGAATGCTATGTCTGCACGCTATGCATGTCCTCATTTTAGCCCACCGCCTCCCCAGCACCGCCTGCCTAGATCTGCTACGGAGATCTTCCTCTATCTAGCAGCAGCATGTTTCATTTTAATTTTATGACCTAAGCATTTAGCAGCAGCATCGTAGCAGATTTAGTCCGCCAAGACCAAACCTATGCACATTATATTTACATTATTAAAATTAAAAATTATAATGTACCCCAAGAGTTGTCATGACTGAAATAATGTTAAAACTAGACATATCATGTTTCCCTCTATCAAAACAATTGCATAGGACATCAAGTCAAGTCAAGTCAAGTCTGCTTTATTGTCAATTTGTGGTTCTGCCGACATCGAGCAGAAACTCACGACTGTATGCGCGCTTAGAGACAGATAGACGCGACGAATACGTACAAAAACACTGCGACTCACAAGACAAAAAGCACGAAAACACCTTTCTGTCGGGAGAGAGAGAAGCCGCAGCGTGTGAACGCGCCGCCATCTTGAGCGTACTGACATACCTATCCAAGTGCCATAAATATTATTTTTCCAATGTTTGCGTGCCTGTACCTCTAGAAGAATTAAAGATATCTTTATAGCTTTTTGCATTCTGGTTCTTAATATACTTTTCTTTCATAAATGTAATGTTTAAGGCCCTATGTGGTTCAATCATAAAGATATGGGGAGTCCAATATTGATATTGTCCAAATTGTGAAATTTTACCTATTTTCAATGATTGAAAACCAAATGGTCACTTAGCATACAGCTGATACTTATTTCATTTAAAGAACAATGTATGAAGAACAAATAATATTGAAAGTAGAAATATATATTGTTTCCCTCGATCCAAACAACTGCATAGAACATACCTATCTGATTGCTATCTGATTGCTAAAATTGTTCTTTTCCCAAAGTTTGCACACCTGTAATTCAAGAAGTAATTTTAGATTCTCGTTTCAAAGAAACTTTTCCTTTGGAATCTTCATTTTAAAGGCACTATATAGTTTGATCCCAGAGATATTAGGAGCCTAGTGCAACTCAGTGTCCAAATTGTTCAATATTACAGATTTTCAAGAGTCGGACTCGGAAACCAAATGTGATTTTGTGTATATCTAGTCATGAGTCATGGCTGTTGATACTGCAAATATGCAAATAAGAACAGTAACCCAGGGTTTATGAATGTATGTGTGTAATGATACAGATGTAAGGACGGCCAGACTATAGACAAATAATCTTGAGTGTTGTCTTAGCTGGGCTAGAACCCTGATCTCCTGAACACAGAGCTGGCGCTCTTCCTGAGTGAGCTAACTCCAGGTTGAGGATTTTCTAGACCCAAGTGCAGAGGAATGACAAAATCTCACGGAGACGAGAAATACAAACTCCAAGTATTTTTACTTGTAGAGATTAAAAGAAAAAAAGGAACAAAGTACAAACAAAACCAGAAGCAAGGCTTCCAATAGTCAGTCAATCAATTCATTACATTTATTTAGCGCTTTTCTAGGCACTCAAAGCGCTTTACATTGTCAGGGGGTATCTCCTCATCCCCATCAAAAAGGAGAAAACAAAAACAAGCACAATGGCTTACAAAAGACTCACGGTTAGCAACAGGATACACAGGTAGGTAGGCTCAAGACTGAACAAAACACAATGGCTAAAGGCAAACTTAAATAGGGCCCTACACAGGTGAGTATCATCAACAATAATTGCTAAGCAGAGCTGAGAGTTCTTGCCAATGGTTGCCCCCTGGCAACTGGGAGGAAGATTGCAGGCAACAGACATCTTGCGCCCCCTTGTGGATGGGAGTAATGCTGCTGGTCATGGCAGGAGTGTGACCCCTAGTGGTTGGAGGAAGTACTGCCAGCTAAAGTCTTACAATGTGTGACATGTCAGATAATGAATAACCAGAATTCATTCTTAACTCCGGGATAAGGTCAGGGAAAACAGACTCAGATAATGTGGTGAAACAACACAGGATTGTTTATTGTGACAATCAGTACTCTAGGTGAATATATAAGCACCAACAGAGCAGGTAAGGTAGAAAAAATTAGCATTTTTTCAGTATATTGAAAGACACAAAGGGAGTTGTTGGAGACTGGAGCAGTAAATTGGAGTTTTGGAGATGGGGAGGATATCACCCAGGTAAGTTATCCAGGTAAGTCGATTGCACGAATCGAGGAGCAGTCCTAGTCGTAGAGTGAATGGTGTGTAGTATATGCAGGGTATTTTTAATGAGGTGATAGAGTAGTGACAGGTGTAGATGATGACAGAACGAGTGCACAGGAGACAATGGAGGAGCAGAATCTTTAGGAAGCCACCAGGTTGGGAGCAGGGAGTGGCCTTTGTGGCCATGATGAGGAAACTAGGAGCACTGGAAACCGGAATGGATTTTGTGGCCAAGACGATGGAACTAGGAGCACTTAGCCACAACACATAATCTATATATTGTGCCAGAGTACACATTGTAGCGCTCACTGGTACGTGAAGCAATATATGGTCGTCCAATCCAAAAGTACAAAGAAAAGTTTTCCAATGTTTTCACTGACCAGCTTAAATGTATTTTGTAAATATAAAAATGTTTTGATGTTGATGACTGCAACAAACTCCAAAAAAGTTGGGACAGAGGCAAAATAAAAATAAAAAAGTTATAGAATAGCCAAGTTAAACTATTTTGAAACAGTCCACAATAAGCAGGTAAATAAACAGGTAAAAAAACAGGTATAAAAGGAGCATCTCAGTCTTTGTCAGCAAAGCCGCTTTGTGTCAAACTAATCAAAAATCACATTTCTCAATGCAAAATCGCAAAGAATTTAGGTCTTTCACCAACTGCTATACATAATATTGTGATAAGACTCAGGGATTCCAGAGAAATCTCATTCTGTGTAGGGCAAGGCAGGAAACCTCAGGTGAATGTGCAAGACTTTTGAGCCCTCAGATGGCATTGCATAAGAAACCATCATGCTGCGGTGTTAAATATAGCCACATGTGCTCAGGGGTACTTCAGAAAACCACTGTCATTTACCACAATCTGCACTGCATTAAGAAGTGCAACTTGAATGTCTGTTACTCAAAGAGAAAGCTATACATCAATTCTATGCAGTGATGACGCCGGGTTCTCTGGGCCAGAGATAATCACAGATAGACAAAAAGGCAGTGGAAATGTGTGCTGTGCTCAGATGAGTCCACGTTTCAGCTTGTTCTTGAAAAACAGTCATCAAATTATCAGTCCCAAAAACCAAAGGGACCATCCAGACTTTCACCAGCGACAGATGCAAAAGCAAACATCTGCCGCCAGAAAGGCTGTGTCTAACAGCGCGAACCTGATGGCAAAGGTAATGGATTCCTCGATCATTTCTGTCAGATCAGCTCTAAGGAAGTTCACTATCCCCCAGTCCTCTTATCTAGAGTCTGCTTGTGTCGGCTCCATCCCCTGACCACAGTCCTGAGCCTGCTCTAGCCCCTGAGTCTGCATTGGAGCCCACTCACACCCCAGAGTCAAGTACAGAGGCTGCTATGTTCTTCTGTGTTCCACATCTCCTTGATGCAGCCAAGCTTCCTGCACTGCTGGTACATCCCAAGCTCCCTGAATCCTTGAGTCGCTGACACCTCCAAAGCTTCCTGAACTTCCAGCACCTCCATGGTGTCCTGTATTACTGGTGCCGTCCTGGAGGCTCTCTAATTGGCCCGTATCACCATAGTCATCTGTCTGTCACCTGCTAAGACTGTGTTTTTGTATAAGTGACATGTTTCTTACTTTGAGTCTTGTATTTTGTAACTTATATTTTGTTTATGATGTCATGTCTCCTTGTAGTTTTGTTTCCTGGTCTTTGTAGTTCTCTTTCTATTATCCCTGTCCTAATTGTCTTTAGATGTTCCTTGTTATCCCTTGATTAGTTATATATTTAAACTTGTGTTTGCCATGGTCTTTGGTCGATTGTTGTTTGTATTCTTGGGCTTTGTGCTGTGTTCCAGGTTTCTCTGATCATGTCATTGATTGCTTCACATTTGGATATTTAAAAAAAAATAGTATAATGCTTTTGTCTGTCTTGATTTGTATTCTATCATCATGTTATGATTATGATTATGAGGTTTGTTGACAGCAACATTGCTTAGCACTTTCTGTTGGCTGACTGTTTGGCTGTATGCTTTAGATGTGTGCGGGATCCCGCACACAATTTGATTTCCTATGTTAGTGTAGAATTAGCATGTCAACAAATCCTGTATACTCTCACTCATGACAGCAGACAACAAATCACCAGAGTGTTTTTAATTTTGTATATAGTTTTAAAATTTTGTGTACGCATACACATATCAATGAATATTTATAATTATAATTTCACTTTTTTTCTGTGTTGTCAGGTTATTTTACCCAGATCTCCACACTGGCAGATGTTCAGGAGAATGTGATGGAGTATCTGCATGTGCTCAGTCGGCCGAAGGTCATTGATCGAGAGCATGACATGGTGTGGACAGAAGCCTATGTTGATAACACTGTAAGTGACTCATTTATGTTTTTGACATTTTCTTCATGTGAAAATCCACATATAAATAATTGTTAACCTTATGAACCCCATGCACACAGAGAAGAGTATTGTGTATTGTGCAAACCAAAAGTGCAGTGTATTTGAATACACTGTCTGTACTGTTTTTTTTTAATGCAGATCAGGCTACAGTGCAAACGTTCCCATATTCTCTAAGCTGAGCGCAATTTGTACTGCGTAGTTTAGATTTTAGTTCAGGAGCCGAGTGCAACCGTAGAGCAGTCTCCTCACTCAATAGCATTTGAGGGGGTGCTCAAAGCTTTGATAAAGGTGGTAGCTAAACTTAGCATCAAGTGGCCTAAGGAAAGAATGAAAGCGCCTCGTAGTAAACTTGACGAATGTTTCCTGACTAGTGATCGGGCCCAGCCACCAAAGAGAAATTGTTAGGAGGCTTAGGAGGCTGACCTGCTGAAGGAGCTGTGTGCCGGCAAGGGCCTCATGTATGGCTAAAACTGGGATCAAGGACAAAGAAAAAAAAGCTTTTCTGCTGGACAGCCCAATGTCATCATCTGGCCTTTTTGGTGACGCAGTCAACACTATTGTAGAGGTCTGCACGGGACTGTTTTTTTTAGTCCCGCTCCTGCGAAGTTCTATTCCGCACCCACCTGCTCCTGCTATATATTCACTCTTTGTTCACCCACAGTCCGCTTAGAATAATTTTCCGTTCCCGCTAAATTTAGATCTCGTTTCCAGAACCTCACATTTAAATTTCCGCTACTGAGAGAGAGATAGTCTAACAAATAAAAGTGTAGCATGCACAAAATTGTAGGCCTATTTGTAATTTTATTCGTCTTGTCAAGACACAAAATTTGTTTAACATTTCGCTGTCAACACAGCAAAAAAAAAAAGTGTCACAGAGAAAATAATAATGTAGGTTGTACAAAAATTTTAGCTATTTCTTATTTGTATTCATCTTTTCAAGATACAATTCGTTTAAAATTTTGCTGCATGTCAACACAATAGGAAAAAGTGTCGCAGAGAAAAAAACAAAACCAATGTAGGTTGTACAGAAATTGTAACCTCTTTGTTATTTTTATTCTCTTAGTCTTGTCAAAATACAAAATTCATTTAACATTTTGCAGCGTCTCCAAGATGCTTCAAGAAACCTACCTGCAAAGCTACCTGAAAAACTCTGCGCAAGTGCACCTAGGTCAAAAGCAGCTTTAAACGCAAAGGATGCTCACACCAAATGTTGATTTAATTTTGTTAATAGAAGTTAATTGATAAAGAAAATATTTTTTTCCCCCTATGACATTATTTTTGACAGCATCCTCATTTTACAGCATTTTTACACAAGTGCCTAAAACTTTTAACAGTACTGTAGCTTTGCAGGAAGGTTTCTTGAAGCGTCTTGGAGACAGTTCTTCTGGATTGAGTCTGTCTCAGTTTGTTCTGTTTCTTCATGTCCTTCCAGACAGACTGGATGATGGTCAGATCAAATCTCTGTGTGGAGCACACAAATCTCACTGCATTATTACAATTAATGGCAAAATGAATGTTTGGAAATGTAAACTGATATTTCCTACTGACACACAACAGCAAAAGATAGAAATAACTGACTTAAAACCATTTTTTAGCTGCTGAAAATTCTAGTGTTCTAATCATTTTGGCCACCACTGTATATAATCAATTAACAAAGAGCTTATAAGTTTGTATTTAAAGGTTTTAAAAACTATTTCCCTATGGAGAAAATGAATGGAGCTTTTACCTCTCCTTAACTTCCAAATATATTTCAGATCCAGACACCACTTTAGGAAGTAATGACAAGGAGAAGTTGTAATATGTGTGTGCGCACTCATTTGATCGTAGTTTGTCTTTTGTCTTTGTAGCGTCCACAGGCTCAAAAGGTAAAGGTTTAATTCACATTTTGATTGTGATTTAGCGGTGTTTCTACATAGCACATTAACCCATTACGTGGATCTGCTTTGTTACATTATATTGTGTGCAGTTTGGACAAGTTTTCATTCTTATTTGACTTCTCATTAACTTTTTTTTTGTTTGTTTTAAGTGATGACTTGTGTAGCCTATATCACTGCCATACTTGATGTTCCAGTCATCTGTGCACTCAGAGTATCTGTATTGCAGTTAATGGAAGTCTTTGTATGTGTTGGCAGGGACAGACGTGACTTGCCCATAATTACACATCCCCTCTTTCATTACTGGTTGCCTGGCTTGACGAAACTATGAAATTCTGTTGCTGATGTACAATATTCTTAAAAGTAGAACACTTCATCGTCTCATAGTTTTACTAGTTTACCTAAAGGATGTACCTACATTTAGCTTCTTGAATTTTGAATTTTTTCTGTTTCTGCTGTTTTTTCATTAAACAGCAGAACTTTAGTCTCTTCAAAACACAATATATTCTTCCAAACATTGTCACACTCTGCTATTCTGCTGGAGTGACACTAACTAAACAAATAAAAAAATATCAATAGATCCTTCGGTAAGCTGACCCTTGTTAAAAAAATAGTAAACTTCAGCATACCTTTAAAAAGAATACTTATTGTGGAAATATACACTGCTTAAAAAAAAAAAAATAATGGAACGCTTTGAAAACACATCAGATCTCAATGGGGAAAAATATCATGCTGGATAATATCTATACTGATATGGACCGGGTAATGTGTTAGAAACGAAAGGATGCCACATCGTTTGATGGAAATTAAAATGATCAACATACAGAGGGCTGAATTAAAAGATCAAAGTGAAATGATTTGTAGCAGGCTAGTCCATTTTTGCTGAAATTTCATTGCAGCAACTCAAAATGGTACTCAGCAGTTTTTATGGCCCCCACGTGCTTGTATGCATACCTGACATGCATGCATACTTGATGCTATACTCTGATTAAAAAGTGTTCCTTTCATTTTTTTAGCAGTATATTTTAAAATAATACACTTAGGTACAAACTGAATGTGATGTTTTCATAACTTAACTGCATGTTATTTACAATTTTATGAAAATATATTACAGTTTAAATTTATATTAAATGAAGTTAGTTGAATTTAAGATTGTTTTTTTTTCACCTAAGTAGGACGTAAGTACATTGTTATAATACATTTAATAATAACTTAAGAGGTCAGCTCTGAAAAAGATCATGAAACTTCTCTGTTTTAGAATGCATATTGAGCATCAGTCAACCATATTAACCAAAAACTGATTTCAGTGACATATCTGATGACTAATTATTTTTTGTTCAGTATCATAGACAATAAGCATGAGCATCTGGATGATGCTCTGAGTGTGTGTAGTGTTCTCAGAGTCTGAGCTATTGTTGTGCTTCCAAATTCTCACCACAACCCAGCTCAATCATCCATCATTTTACAGCCCATTTACTCCTCCAGAGACATCGAGAGAGCAGAGTAAATAAGAGAAGAATATATATGACAGTTTAAGCTGATTTGTCTCTCTTCCACTAATGCGCAGCTCATTGCCCCACTTCCGATGTCTTGTGAGAATGTATGATTGTGACTTTCGGATGTTTACAGATCATGAATTCATCAAATGAGTTATTGTGAATGTGTAATTGTGCATGAATCGTGCATATGCATGTGTGTTGCTGCAATCAGACAAGCAGGCTGTGACGGTTCTGATTTAGATACAGATGATAAAGCTCTTCTCCAAGTCACTCTCTGCCATCAGCCACAGATTCCCTAGCAGCTGAGCCGCATCCATCCACACCTGAGCATGAGGTCACATGATCTGAGTGCACATGAGTCACTGCGTTCAGAGATTCATTACCATTTTATCACAGATTTCACATTATTCATGTGAAGTTATTATAGTGTATTCTTTATTGATTGTGTCCGCTATTATATTTGCTGTTGCAGTGTTACCACAGGCAACGGTCTTCATTATTAGCCTGTAGTTATTAATAACTTGCAAAATATACAGCTCACATAATATAAAAAAACAGCTTTTTTAAATGTAATTATTTTTTAAAAGATATGGATTTGATAATTCTTTACAGGAAAAAAAAAACTATTTAAGCTAATGTTAAGAGTGATCACAGAATCGCTGTTTTTTTTTTATTTTTTTTTTAGCAATTTGACATTCTAAAGTTCATCACAGATTATCAGGGTGGCTAAAATGGGAAAAAATGGGTCAAGCAACAAAAGGATCTAGTATACTATAGACGGTTTTTGCAAAACCTGAAATAAACTACCCTAGGTAGTTTCCAAATTAAACATACCTGTACACCTACTGTCGATAAGATTGAATTATATTTTCTTCTGTACAGTTGATGCTACAACAACAACAGTGGCGTGCACAGACCTCTGGAGGGGAAGGGGCTAAGAGACGTTACTTGGGCACAATCGCGGTCCGGGGGACCGGGGAACCGGGGGGGATTGTTGTGGGTTCCCCCTCGGTAGAAATCGCGGTCCGGGGGCACATAGACCGGACTGAAAGGGAACGTTAGCGTCGGTGATTGGCCCTACCACGCCACTGAACAACAACAATAATAATAATCCTATCCTTATTCCAATAAAAGTAATGATAATGTCACAAGTAGCTTAGCACTGTGACAAATAAAGGGAACAGCAAGAGTTGTCTGAATAACCTAAATATGTGTTATTACAATAAAAAGCAAAACAAACAAATAAACAAAAAAATTAACAATTAAAACGTCAGTTAATAGAAAAGGCATGTCCAGCAAACAAGAAAAAAAATGGTGTAACTAACTGATGAACATCCGTAGTATGATGCATTGTTGGAGAAAGTAACCAACTAGTCATGACTGTTTCCTGAAATCATGTGTGCACATCCCTCAGATGAACCATGTTGGTTCAGCAGTATAAAGGACTGCCATTATCACCGTCGCACACAGGCAATGCTCCCTCTAAGCTGTGCACGTGCGCGGCCATGCACAGGACATTTGCAGAAATAAGTTGAGAAAGCCATTTGACTTAATTCTAGAAATGCGAAATAATTGCAATGCTTGGGCAAACTGCCACAGAGTTGGTGTCGCTATAGAACCAGTGAATGCGGTTTAGAGGTGTCATAGAAAGAGAATGATGTGTGCCAAATCAGTCGCTCTAGAAATCGGACGAAATAGCTCAACACGAGAGCCAAAGCAAGCGTGCTTCTCAAAGGGAAGGCTGCATCCTACCAAGATTGCGTCCTTCCTAGTTCAGTCTTGTAGGCTATAGAGTCCTCCTCGACATTAAATACTAGTATGTCTAGTAAGTGCACATGGCTACGTCACATACGCCGCCCTCACTGGCACGGCACGAAAATACTAATAAAACTTAGTTTTTGAAAAATACTTTACATTATCTTTAAATTATTTGGCTTTCTGTTAATGTAATGCAATGAATCACAGCTGTCTTATCAAAACTCAAAGGGCCAGTTTTATTAACAGCTTGTGCAGCACAAACCGTCTTTTGACGTTAAAATAATACTGCCAGGATTTACTAAAGACGCGCAGTGATGAATTAGCACTGAAAAGGCGTGGACAGTTATTTTTGCGCCTGACCTTATTGAATATGCATTTCTAGGAGTTTTCCACACGTATTAATTTATTTGGAAAGAACACATTATCCGAACATATCGTTTCCAAGCCATGTTATTTTGCCCTGTATAGTAAAACTGGCCCCAAGACATTTACAGGTACACACAGGTGTAGTAGTGCGCAAATATGGGGATGTTTTAGATAACTGTAAAATAATTCACGTTCATGTTTTTTGAAAATGTTTTGAAGATGTAAAAAAAAAAATGTTTTGAAATTATATTATAAGCTTGATAAATAATTGACCTCAATACCTGCTTAATTTTTTCATATTAGCTATATTATTATATTATATTATTATAAAGAATTGAACTGTTCTGCGTGACATTTTTAAAAATAATAAATAAAAATAAATATAATATTTATTTATATTAAATCAAATAAAATATAAATAGCACATTAAAGTGAATTTACACACTTTTTTGTGTGTGTGCTGTACAGGTCTGTTATAAAGAATGTTTTTGCTCAGGTGGCCAAAATGTCTGCCCAATAGGGAAAAATTTTGCTCGGCAAGAAAAAAAAATTTTAGAGGGAACATTGCACACAGGTGAAGTAAAAATGTTGACATAAATTTGACTTTAATGTCAGAATATTATAATTCATTTACACAAACAAAACAAAACTGTTCATTTTTTTTTTTTAAATCACGTTATGCAGGTGGTTCAGGTGTGTTTAATAAGAGTTGGAGCTAACCTCTGCAGGGCTGTGGCCCTCCAGTAACTGAGTTTGACATCACTGGCATAGCATACTCCCGTGTATGGTTTATTCAATCAGGAGCATTGCCCTTAACATAATTTCTCAGAGATGCTGCTGTAACTATATATAATAGATCGATTCATAGAGCAGTAGTTCCAAACACACAATCTTGTGATGCCGTTTGTTAATGTTTGTTTGAACTGGGGTTTTGGGAAACACATAATCTTTGAGCTATGTTGGTAACGATGGAACTGCTGATAGTTGACTAACAATGGTTTTGGGAAATGCATCCTGTAGAGTTCAGCTCCAATCCTATAAAACACACTTGGCTAACAATGTTGGCTAACCCTGCCCTAGACACACATCAAAATAATAAAACTAATGTCTGAACTAGTACTATGTCCACAGCTTCATCTGCCTGAGAAACGCTTCATTATCAGATTAAAAAAATAGACCGATCTATAATTTTCTTTATGAATTTGTTTCATTTATTTTAATTATTTTAGTGCCAAAACACCCTAATGACTTAACCAATTTGACATTATTTCAGATGATGATGAAATAAAATGAAATGTCAAAAAAGTATCTGTTGCAGAAACAAATGTGAAAACAGATGGCCAGTCACTTTCCCATAAGAACCAGGAAATAAATAACATTCATCCACGTCTTTGTTATGTGTTGTTGTGTATTTGTGTAGCTGGAAGATGCTCAGGGTCCTGTGCTCATGACTACCGTGGCCATGCCTGTGTTCAGCACCAAGAACGAGACTGTAAGTGATGCTAAACTTTGACTTCGATAATGTTAACCAGTGGCTATTTAGTCAGTATGAATGTTTTCTGTATAGCACTCATCAAACTATACCAATAGACAGAGGAAATATGCCAAAGTAAGAAAGAAAAAATGATGTAGAAACTGATATTAATAGCGGGGCAGTCGTGGCTTAATGGATAGAGAGTCAGACTTGTAACCCAAAGATCGCGGGTTCGAGTCTCAGGTCCGGCAGGGATTGTCGGTGGGGGGAGTGAATAATCAGCGCTCTCTTCCACCTTCAATTCTACGACTGAGGTGAGACCCTTGAGCAAAGCACCAAACCCCCAACTGCTCCCCGGGTAACGCAGCATTGGCTGCCCACTGCTGCGGGTGTGTGTTTATGATGTGTGTGTGTGTGTGTGCGCACTTGGGTGGGTTAAATGCAGAGCACACATTCCGAGTATGGGACACCATACTTGGCCACACGTCACATCACGTCACTTTAGACTTGTCAAAACATTTAACCAATGAATGATGAATCATAACAAATATTAAAGGGTTAGTTCACCCAAAAATGAAAATTAGCCCATAAATTACTCACCCTCAAGTCATCCTTGGTGTGCATGACTTTCTTTTTTCAGACGAATCCAGTTATATTAAAAATTGTCTTTGATCTTTCAAGCTGTTTAATGCCATTTAACGCTGAGCTCATACGTCATCCGCCCGGCGCTGCTTCCGTGTACAACTGTTGGCGCAAGCTACATTAACGTGATTATTACATTTTGAATATGGATATTTTTCTTACAAAAACGCATCAATTTGCTACAGAAGGCCTTTGCTCACCCCCCGGAGCCGTGTGAGACACTTTTTTTATGGATGGGTGCTTTTTATTTAACTTCTTTTGGACTGATGCATGCAACACCCGCTGACTGCCATTAAACAGCTTGAAAGATCAAAGACAATTTTTAATATAACTCCGACTGGATTCGTCTGAAAGAAGAAAGTCATATACACCTAGGATGACTTGAAGGTGAGTAAATTATGGGCTAATTTTCATTTTTGGGTGAACTAACCCTTTAAGATTTTTTTTTGCTTTGCTTTTTGCTTTGATTTTTAACATGCTTGTGTTCATTGTTTTAAGAGAAATAAAGGAATTCTTCTTGGAGTAGTTGGCACAGATGTTCCAGTGTCTGAAATACTGAAGGCCATCCCTAAATACAAGGTACACAGACAAGTCACCTATAACTGTCCATTCATTAGAACCTGGACCTCCTGTTGATTATGTGTCTAGCACCAGAGAGTGTTAGTGAATCGATGGATGGATGGATGGATGGATGGATGAATGGATGAATGGATGAATGAATGAATGAATGCATGAATTTGAGGTGAACTTGAGAGACTATTCCTTTAAAATCCTGTATTTACATCATTTATGATGATTATGTTGCATAGGTGATAAAATAATTATTGCTGATGTACAGAATCAAATAATTGAATATTTGCCAAATAATTACATATAAATGTATAAATGAATGAATGAATGAATGAATGCATGCATGCATGCATGCATGCATGCATGGATGGATGGATGGATGGATGGATGGATGGATGGATGGATGGATTTCTTATTTAAATGGTCATTAGACTTGAGTTATATCATCGATATGGACCATGATTTGTTACTTGCTATTGTGGTCAAGTGGAGAAGAAGAGCCTATACCAGAACAAGATGTAAACTAAAGAAAGATAAACTTGACTTTGCCTATTCCCTGGCAGAGGTTCTCAGACTGGCACTGGAGTGCAAATAATTCCACCCACCAAAAGGATCACAGGTCCATTCAATAAAGGACAAGAGATGTGGCTTCAAGTACAAAAATATATTCATTTATTTAACATACAAACAATCAATCATGTCACTTCAGTAGTGAAGAACAGACCCATACAATGCACACACACTTTATAGAACCAATACAAAATGTTAAGTAGAGCTGAAACTTACTAGCTGGGAGCTGCTAATTACAGTCATTATCTGTCCTGAAACGCACAATCACACACACACACACCTGCATACTTGAGTGACTGAGATGGTCGATAATGAGCATAGTAAGTGTGTTAAGTGCTACAGCTCATTGAACTGCTCACACTTAAAATGAAAGTGCTTCTTAAGGAAAAAAAAAAAGAAAAATCTTCCATCTCCCATAGGTCTAGTTCTATGGTTGCTGACTGAGGTGCCACAAAAGCTAGAGTCCTGGGAATCCAATGTTTAGCTCGAGGCTGTCGAGAATGAGCAGAGGATTTCTGTTTCTCTCTCACTCCCTAAACCATGTGCAGTGTATTTCTCAGGTGGAGTTCACACATGAGGAGTTGTGTTCAAGTCCGAAAGTTCACAATGCAATCTCTGTCAGCTTGTATAAGTTTTCCTGTTTACTGTTGCTTCAGTCACTAATAAGTTTGCGCAGTGGGCAGGCTGGCACTCATCAGGAGTCCCATCCCTTGCTTGCTTATTCAAGGAGAATAGACATGCAATTGATTTGCCGCTTTTGCATGCATTTAATTCAAGAATGTTGTGTAATTTTACAGTCAGAGAGAAGCACAAGCCTAATGACTGAGTCAGTCCACTACACGACACACTTAACAACTGACGAGTCAAAATTCTGAACGGACCAAAACGGACAAATTCTGCCGAACCAGCCACCAAATAATAAACGAACAAATAAATAAATAAAGCCGTATCCGATTATATGGTCCTCCTGCATCCTGCGTTCAGTGTGGTCAGTGCCATTGGTTATAATGGGCTCTATTTGCGATGCAACATGCACTGCTTTTCAAGCAAGGTTCATATTTATAGCCATAACCTTGGTGTGTAGAGTCATTTAAGATCATGTAATAATCTAGTTTAAGATATGTTTCTGGCAAACAGAGCACATCCAGATTATTGTGTAATAATTATGTACGATAAAGGCTGCTGTATAGCTGCCCAAACTTTAGTAAATGTTCATATTTAATAGTTTTTTTGTCATTTTCTAGTTTGAGACTTTCTTTCTTTCTTGGGTGTGACGAGTGGGGGTGGGGCCGAGAGCCGTGGGAACAGGTGTCGCTCATTATCAATTACTCCACCGGCCTCGCTCCGTTCCCACAGCCCTCGGCCCCGCCCCCACTCATCACATTGGGCAACACTCATATCATTGTCTAGCACACTGCACAAACAGACACAGAAAACTAATCAATGCAACCACATGCAATACTAGAAGAAAGGCAGGTTAGCAATGACACATTTGCAGGTAGTGCAAGTACTAATACGGTATTACTCATCCTGATGATGTGACACAATAATTCGAATGGGAAGGAACAGCCTATCTCGACACACTAGTCAATGGCAGGTGGTATTAGGGAGAGGAACATTCTCACACTGTCCTAACCAGATTTGATGATGATACACAATGAGAGACAGATGATTCTATTTTTTGAAATGGTTTCTATTTCTGTAACATTGCAGCTGACAGCTTAAGTACTGATTGTGTTTCACATTATATAAAATGATTTAATTTGAGTTTGAATATCATTTTGTGATGTGACTTACATCACTTTGTGCAGCAACCTTAATGAAAGAGACAATGGATAATTGTTCAATTCAAGTTTATTTGTATAGTGCTTTTCACGATACAAATCGTTGCAAAGCAACTTTACAGCAAATTAAGTTTCTACAATATTTAGTAGTAGCTTAAGTGATGTATATATGGCAGAAATGTACGGACAGATCAATTAAATACGTAATCAAACAGACGATGAACACTATTAACAGCAATTATTATATGATGCAATCAAACTTATAGCAAAGTCCCCAGATACTGAAAATAACTTAAAAAATAAAATACAATTCAAACCATGAACTCTATGTAAAAATTAAGTTTCTACAATATTTAGTAGTAGCTTATCAGTGGTGACTGTCAGTTTATGTAAATGTGGCAGAAATGTACGGAAAAATCAATTGAAGACGTAATCAAACAGACGATGAACACTATTAACAGCAATTATTATATGATGCAATCAAACTTATAGCAAAGTCCCCAGATACTGAAAATAACTTAAAAAATAAAATACAATTCAAACCATGAACTCTATGTAAACTCTCTGATTGTATGACTATGTATTTTGAATAATGTTAAAATATTATATATTTGATTATATCTTTATACATTTTGTTGTAAATGTGAGCAAAATCTCAAGGAAAGTCAGTTCACTCTCCGGCAATATTTGCAAAGTCTCCAGGCAGCTATTTTCTGACATGCTAAACCAACTCCTGTATTTGTTTAAAAGGAAAGGCAGGACTTGCATTACTAGAGCCGCCCTGGATACACTATATTGTGCAGTACACCATTCACAGCAATACATGTGCAACACCTCGGCATATATACAACAGTGTGTTTGCAGAGAGGGCCAACCCACGCATTCTTGGCTGTGATCTTTGATTGATATGTTGCATCTGGTGTGGACAGATACAGTGCTTGAAACTTATCAAATCACAACTGGTTTGAACATTGTGCCATTCTTCAGAGTGTGTGATTGGACTAAAATCGGATGAGTGCTCAACATTTTTGGTCCAGTTTACTGCAAATATTTAATGTGTAAATTTGTTAAGTGTTCATTTTGTAAACTTTTAGCATTACTCTAGATTATAGATAGCTGAAGCACTTAAAGACAAACTCATGAGGTATTTGAAAATGTGACAGTATCTCTGAATTTGATTGCTGCTTCTGGTGTGTTTGTTTGTGTGTGTGTCTGTTCACAGCTGGGAATCCATGGTTATGCCTTCGCCATCACCAATAATGGATACATACTCACCCATCCAGACTTGCAGCCTCTGGTAATGTATCGCTTGTGATGATAATAGCGAAGAAGCAGTCTTCCAGCACATGCTGAGGCTGATGGGAGAATGCATCTCATTAGAGTCATTGTGCTGTGAGCCGACAGCTGCAAACGGCCTCTGATCAACTGTTATGAGTGTTTGACAGATGATGAGATGGGAACACACTCTACTTACATCAACAGACATAAGAATCAAAACCTCCTTCATGATCTCGCTGCTGTGTGTATTGTGTCTATAAACAAAGCTGCCTGTAAAACAGTCAAACAGGGAAAGTGCTCAGGATAAACAGGATCTGTGCAAGAGGGCAATGAAAATGGTCAACACGATCACAAGGTTTTATGTATTTATATGTCCTCTGCATGAATCTCACCAAGCCATTGATAAAAATTTAGGAGATATTTCATCCCAACTAAGTCAAACTGAATGAGAATTTTTAGAGCCATTACAATTCATAACAATTAAGCATGTTCTCATCATTACCATAAGGCAAATACGTTTCTTTCTTGGTATGGTAATGTGACTAGTTACAGCATTTAATTTTGTAATTTGTTTCATGTATTGTGGTAGTACTTGTTATACTGCCTTTTGGTAGCATTTCTAATACTTAATTTAAAATTATTTGTTATTTATCTATTATTTATTTATTTATTTTTTTTTTGTGAAAACTGACGTGAGAGATTTCCTGGTGTCCAGGGTACAGCTGATGTCTCTGTATCTACACACATTCCCATATTCAAACTACACAATGCAACAGAAAAGCCCGCTCTTTTGTTATCTCCCATTTTAAAAGATAAGCATCTGGGGCCTGATGTATAATCGTTATGTACGCACAAAATGGGCATGGAAATGTGCGTACGCACACATTTAGGATGAAATCTACGTAAAGTTTTATACATGAGGCCCCTGGTCTCTTCCGCTAGTTTCATTCTGCCACTGGAGGGCAGTCTATACCTGTTGCACACACCGATCCACAGAAATCTTCTTTAAAAAAAAAGCACCAGTGACACAGTAAAGCTGTGGTCTTCTATGTTCTATTACGAAAGGAGTAACAGCTTCGATAGTCTGATATCTGTGGGACAAACATTAATTAGGGTTATACATGTTGCATTGACATATATAGAAAATATGTTTTGTTAATGATCTGCAGAAGAAAGTCAGACACTAGTGATGAAAGAATATTGTGATGATAATAATTGTTTACTACAGTATCACTCTAATACACATCATGTTTGTCCATGTTAAATAATATCATTGGTGTTTCCATGGCTTGTGTTTCCAGTATGAAGAAGGGAAAAAGAGGAGAAAATCCAGCTACAGCAGTGTGGATCTGTCAGAGGTGGAGTGGGAAGACAAGGAGGATGAGGTAAAATGTTTTTATTTACAGTTATAAATAGTTTAAATTAAAGTTCTGGTGGAAACATGTTTATTAAAATCTGTTAATCATAACACAGAGCCACTTTATTAAGTCCTCTGTGCTAACTCCAAATGCTACTTCTATTATCTAATAGCATAATACTCTTTCTTAATCAAAAAGTCAAAGGGGGGATTTTGTCTTTAGAATCCAATTAAGCTAAAAAAAGTTATTACATAAAATTGATAATAGAGTCAGGTGTTTCAGTGAAGGAGCTTAGAATTTTGGGTTGTGCTGGTACATTATAGAGTTGCACAAAGCTAGAACAGGCTACACTAAAGACATTTTAAATCACTGTAAAAAAAATAATTATGCTATTTTCTTAATACATTTTAAAATACTGTTGTCTGTCATGATCCCAGTCTGTGTTCCTCTGTCTTGGTTTTGTGTTTATGGACTCTTGTTTTGAAGTGTTTTCTATTCCCGTTTGTTTCCGTCCCCTTGTCTAAATACCCACACTTGTGGTCTTTGCACTTGACCACTTGACTACTCATGTGATCTATTTCCTGTATTTGGCCCAAGTGCCCAAGTGAGGATGAAGAACACGAGTGTGTGTAGAACTTTTAATTACCTGATGGGGCACACTAAGTGTTGTAAAAATGCAAATGTTTACATAGCTTTATTTTTTATTTTAAATACTTTGCATTTTAAAATCAACTTCTAAATGTCTGTTCAGTAGTCCCATAACATGACACAATTTAATTTGTGGTGCTTCTAATTAAGTGATGAAAAGCATTTGCAAATGTTGTACAAAATAAATATCACCACTACTCATCTTTGCACCAATAAAATGTGCAACACTGTTTTTCTACCGAATTATATGTAATAATATCTAATTATTATATTATTATTTAACTTACATTGGAAAGGTTTCCCTGACCTCTCATGAGATCTCAGCAAAAATCTCACAGTTTATTCTAAAACATGATGCATGATGGAATACACTAAGCCTGGAATAGCACTCTGGAGCGGTATTCGAGATAGTGTGGATTTAGTGTGCGTTAAGGGCACTGCGCTTTGGCATTTTTAAGACCTGGGACAGTCTTGCGCACTTCCTGTCACGCATGGGTATTTGGACAAGGCATGTGTTTACTTGTTCAGTGCCCTGTGCTACCCTGTTTGTTGCTATAGCCCTCTCCTTGTTAGCCTTATTATCTTGCATATTTATACCACTGTGTTTCCCTTGCTCAGTGTCAGTCAATGTGTTTCTCTGTAGAAGCTCTTGTTTTTGGTTTCCTTGTTTACCAGTGTTTGTTTTGTTCCATTTTGTTAATAAACCTAATCTGCATGTGGATCTGCCTCATCATGCTTTCGTCCAACTCAGCATTACATTGTCACACTTGGCCCTGTAAAAGCCTGTTCACACTAAATGATAATTATAAACAGAGTTTAAAAGAGAGAATAGTGAAGTCTAAGATATCACTGGATTTTCCCCCCTACTGATGAATAATGAAACATTGATAATGAAACAGTCAAAATCCTTCCTGCTTTAAAGTGCACTGCAATTATGTTCACAAGACTACAGGACTACAAGACCTGAATTATGTCATCAAGACCTGATTTTTGATTTTTGAGACCTGTCTTTGCTTTCATCTTTGCATCGGTCTACTGTATCAGTCTTTGCTTTCATCTTTCTCTGCTAAAATCCATACTTCAAGATCAACAGCGCTTCAGACATATGTAATCTCTTCAAAACATTAAATTCTCTCTTCTGTCCCCCACCACCACCTCTTTAACACCTCTTTAACAGCTGATGATTTTGCTACATTCTTCACAGACAAAACTAATACCATCAGCAGTCAGTTCTCAGCTCCACACCCACGGGAACTCAAACCAACCACATACACTGCTAAAACATCTCAGTTATGTACATATGTCGGTGACCAACGAATTGGGATCTCGCTTAGAGAGACCAATCTACTTCGAGTGTAAACTAAACGAACCAATGCACATTGGCATGTGATTATTGCATCCAGCTGCTGCTAATCAAAGCGTGAGTATAAGTAGGCAGCAGGTGCAGTGCATATTCACGTTTTTGCTGAGGAGCCAAGACGGTGACCCGGCCGCTCAGCGGTGGTACAGCAGCCGTGGCGACGGGACGTAACGTCTCCATTTCCTCCTTCAGGGAACGAGGGTTACATCCAAAGCCGGGGCCTCTCAGTGCTTCTACCCATTTGAGGTGAGAACACAGGAAGATACCGGCTTCACACGAAGGCTATAGAATCTAGCGAACCTGTTGGGGGTCACCCAGCCCACAGCTCTACAAATATTTGCCAGCGAGGCGCCACAAGCCAGCGCCCAGGAGGATGCAACAATTCTAGTAGAGTGAGCTAGCAACCTGAACGGGCAGGGCACACCCTGTGCCTGATAAGCCAAGGTGATGGCATCCACTATGCAGTGGGCTGTCCTCTGCTTTGAGACGGCATTCCCTTCTGCCGGCCTCTGACAGACAAAGAGCTGGTCTGAGGTCCTGAAGCTTTGCATCCTGTCTACGTAGCATCTCAATGCTCGGACGGGACAAAGCAAAGCTAGGGCTGGATCTGCCTCCTCCGGGGCAGCGCTTGCAGGCTCACCACCTGATCCCTGAAGGGAGTAGTGGGAGCCTTGGGCACATAGCCAGGCCGGGGCCTCAGGATTACCTGGGAGTCAGCCGGCCCAAACCCTAGGCATGAATCGTCGACCAAAAATGCGTGCAGGTCCCCTACCCTCTTGATGGAGGCCAGTTTTCATTGACAGAAACTTCAGCTCGACTGTCTGCAAGCTGTAGTGCTCTGATCACTAGAGACAGGTCTCAAGAGGGTATAGAGGGGGGCCATGGAGGATTTAACCTTCTCGCCCCCCTAAGGAACCTGATGATCAGGTCATGCTTCCCCAATGACTTGCCTTCCACGGGGTCGTGGTTGGCAGCAAATGCAGCCACATAGACTTTAAGGGTCGAGGGAGACAGCCTTCTCTCCAACCCCTGCTGCAGAAAGGACAGCACGACTCTGATCGTGACTACCTGATTCGACGAACAGGTTCCACTTCAAGGCATAAGCGTGTCTCATAGACGGTGCTCTCGCCGAAGTGAAGGTGTCAACTACCTCTTGGGGTAGGTCACCTAGAACCTCCGTGTCCTGTCCAGGGACCAGACATGAAGTTTCCAGAGGTCTTGATGCGGGTGCCACAGGGTGCCCCATCTCTGAGTCAGTAGATCCTTCCTCAGAGGAATCTGCCAAGGAGCCGAGTGTTCCTTCGGCCAGGGAGAAGAACAACTGGCAGTGAGAGGTTTCTGGAGAGGCAAACAGGTCTACTTGAGCGACTCTGAAACGACTCCAAATCAGCTTGACCGTCTGGGGATGGAGTCTCCACTCTCCTGGGAGTGCAGCTCGTGACAGCTCGTCGGCTGCCCGGTTGTGCAGACCAGGAATGTGAATGGCACGAAGCGACCTCAGATGCTTCTGACTCCAGAGGAGGAGGTGGCGGGTGAGTTGCGACATGCGACGGGAGTGTAGACCACCTTGTCGGTTGATGTACGCAGCGGTCGTCGTGTTGTCCATACGGACCAGTACGTGCTTGCCTCGTAAGCCCCTTTGAGGCGGATCAAGGCCAGACGTACTGCCAACAACTCTAGACAATTGACGTGCCAGTGCAGTTGGGGGCCCGTCCAAACCCCCGACACTGCAAGCCCGTCGAATGTGGCCCCCCAGCCGGTGGTAGAGGCATCCGTGTGAACCACAGCATGCCTGGAGACCTGTTCCAGGGGCACTCCTGCCTAGAGAAACGCAAGGTCTGACCACGGGGTGAAGGTTTGGCGGCAGGCCGGTGTGACTCGGACCTGGAGCCAGTGTTAAAGCGGTCTCATATGAAGCAGCCCCAGTGGCGTGACTGCCACTGCAGCTGCCATATGCCCCAGGACCCTCTGAAACTGTTTCAGTGGGACCGCCGTCCTGCCCTTGAACATATTCAGGCAGTTCAACACCGACTGAGTACTTCCTTGCATGAGGCGTGCTCGACCGAATCCAACTCCATACCGAGAAAAGAGATCCTCTTCAAGGAGAGTTTGCTCTTTTCCCAGTTGACCTGTAGGCCCAACCGACTGAGGTGCGAAAGCACCAAGTCCCTGTGTGCACACAACTGATCCTGAGACTGAGCTAGTACCAGTGGTGGAGGTAACGAATTACAACTACTCACGTTACTGTAATTAAGTAGTTTTTTTGGGTACTTGTACTTTTTTGAGTATATTTTTAAAGCTGTACTTTTACTTGTACTTCAGTACAAATTAAGCAAAATAATCTACTTTGTTACTTTTAAATCATAGTTCGTTACTGAGTACACCCACAATTTGAATTGATATTCAAACCTTTGAGGGCACTTCAGTAGCCAATAAAGATATCCGACCGTAAACGGACCAATAAAAGCCCTGATATCTGAAACGGGAAAAGCCGCCGCTTTTCCAAGCTGCGTATCTCTTTCCTCTCCGACAGTGCGTTTGACACGCATCCGCCTCCTGTCAATTACAGAATCTGAATGTCCGTGCTGGATTGCAGGTATTCCGCATAATTTTAATCCTTCCGGCGCAAATGTGGAGAGCGCTTTATTGTAACATGAGAACACAGTCATGTAATCGCAGAAAACTGGATGCGAGCTCTCAAATAGGCCTAACTTATACAAATGATCTGCCTGTCCTCTCACTCCGATATTGCTTGTGCGCACTCAGACTGTGTGCAATCGCCATCTCTCTGTGCTTTTAAAGTAGAAATTATATCTCTTTGCTCCTGGATTAAACTTTGTCAAAAGTTATCAACCATTTAGAATAGATCCACGCCTGATCGATGGAAATCCTACTAGAAATTTTATTGGCTGTAAGTGAAATGCACCAGACAGTATTTCAACAATCAAAGATGGAACTTTAATTTCTTTACAATGTAAGTTTATGCTAGAAATGTTTTGGAATGGGATATTTGTCTGAT